CTCAGCCTGTAATCCCGCGCCTTTGGGAGGCTGAGGTGAATGAATTGCCTGAGCCCACGGGTTTGAGATCCGCCTGGGCAGCGAGACTTTATCTCTACAATAAATAAAAAAATCAGCCGGGCGTGGTGGTGCATGCCTGTAATTCCGGCTACTCAGAAGGCTGAGGTGGAAGGATCGCCGGAGCCCAGCAGGTTGAGGCTGCGGTGGCCGGGAGTGGCCACTGCACTCCAGTCTGGGCGACAGAGTGAGACTCCAACTCAAAAAAAAAAAAAGAAAAAAAAGAATGGCCATCATTAATAAAACAAACAATAACAGATGCTGGCGAGGATGTGGAGAAAAAGGAACGCTTCTACACTGTTGGTGGGAATGCAAACTAGTGCAACCTCTTTAGAAGACAGTGTGGTGATTTCTGAAAGAACTAGAAATTGACCTTCGTATGACCCAGCAATCCCCCTATTGGGAATATACCTGGAGGAACTCAAACCATTCTACCAAAAAGATACCTGCACACACATGTTTGTTGCGGCTCTATTCACAATAGCAAAAACATGGAACCAACCGTGCTGCCTATCAAAGCTGTACTAGATAAAAATAAATGTGGTACATATGCACAATGAAATATTATGCAGCCATAAAGGAGGACAAACATATGGACTTTGCAGCAACTTGAATGGATTTAGAATTGATCATACTCAGTGATCTATCACAGAAACAAAGAACAGAGTACCATATGTTCTTACTCATAAACGGACCTTGAACAATTATCATAATACTATAAGAAAGGGATTGGCAGCAGTGGGAAACTGCCAGGGGAGGGAGGGGGAACCTCAACAAGGGTACCTGCACAATGAATATTTGTATACCTAACCCTAAATTGTACCTCACATCTTAAATTTTTTTTTTAAAGAAAAACATTTAAAAAAAAGATCAGTCTCTGGAGTGAAGTGAATCCGGGTACAAATCCTACTGGTGAGCTGTGTGGCCGTGAACAAGTTACTGAACTCTGAATTTCAGATGCTACCTCTATGAAATGAGGGTAACAGTTTCAGTAGGATTATTTGGAGGAAATTAATAAAATAATGCATCCAAAGGGCATAATACATTATCCGACATATGAAACTATAGCAAGGAGTAACCCAAAATCTTAGATCATATTAGCAATATAGCAGTTATGGTAATTTCTGTGTGCCAGATACTCTTTCTAGTTCTCTATGCCAATTCATTTATCCTCCCAAAAGCCTTTTTGAGATAGGCAACTGTATCATTTCCATTTTTCTGATGCGAAACTGAAACACAGAGGAGCTAATTAACTTGCCCAATGTCACACAGTTTATAAATATCAAGGGTGGATTTAAACCCAGTCTACCAAATTCATTTTCTGAATCCTACATTGTACTGTCCCCTTAAGAGTGGCAGGTGGGGGATATCTGTTGCCAAAAGAAACATTAAGCTCAAAACAGGACCCCCCCCCCCCCCCCGCACTAAGTGTTCTATAGAACAGCAACAGCTTGACCCGCAGAACAGAGCGGGGCTGAGAACAGCTCCGGCCAGCACAAACCTTATGTAAGCCCAAATGCAAGTCACATATGCTATTTAAAGTTTTTCAGCACCCACTTTAAAAAAGTAAAGAGAAACAGGAGAAATTAATTTTATATTT